TGCTGGCGCCGTCAATTGTCAACATTGTTGACTTTTGAGTCACTGCCAATTCATAAATTAACATATGATTCCCAAATCAAGACAAATCCATCAAATTAAAACATAAATTACAACCATTTCTTGCTTTATCAAAATTTAATCAACCTCTTAATTGTGTTGTAGTGTGATGATTATTTTTTCCATTTATGATGCTTTAACTTTTAAATTCACATAATCTCAATTAAATTGACATTAATTCATTCATGAATTACCGACTTAATTAGTATATTGAAATAAACAAGAATTACTTCATTAAATGTGATTTTTTTTATCAAAATTTAATCAACCTCTTAATTGTGTTGTAGTGTGATGATTATTATTTTTCCATTTATTGATGCTTTAACTTTTTAATTCACATAATTTCAATTAAGTTGGCATTAATTCATTCATGAATTACCGATCGACTTAATTAGTGTATTGAAATAAACAAGAATTACTTCATTAAATGTGAAAATATTTTATAGGTGTCCAACTTAAATAAAAGTCAAATAGAAAATAAGGTTGTAGTTTCAGAACACCTAAAAGTAATGAAAAAATTAAAGTCAAAATACAAAAAAGCTGAATTCGAATTATTTTACATGCAGATCTGCAGTGAAAAACATGACTCAAAGCTTTTGACCATACATTAAAAGTCGGCCAACTATCCCTAGCATTTGATTTTGGGTTTCAAATCTAATACACACACACATATATATTAAAATAAAAGAATATAATCTTGTATTTCTTTTTAACAAATAAAAATATGATTTCTTATCGATTTCAAACAAACAAGTTGGGATTACAAAATCCTACTCTTATTAGGGAAAGAAACTTGAATAATCTCCTAATTCATATATTTTCCAATATGACTAACAAAATCATTGAAATGTGTAGTTTTACTTTTAAAATATAGTAATTCCAAATTTAGATGACGATGAATATTTACAATCACTATTTAATGGTGTGTATAAAAAAATTCGAGTAATGTTTAATCTTTACTTTTAATCTTTCATGCATTTGTGGACCACATGCATATATGCTACTGATATAGAAAAACAAATGGCAGGTTATTATTTTCCTTTGTAATCAAAAGTAATACTCCGTATTCTATAAGAAAACATACAATCTTTTTAAATACCTACGGTGTACGTTGTGACAATTTCCTCTCACATATGAGCACAGAGAGTATTTTAGAGACATAATATTAAATTTAGTGTGTACATACAAAATCCGAACAATGCTTAATCTTTACTTTTTATCTTCCATACAGATGTGAACCACGCGATGCATGCTACTGATATAGAAAAACAAATCACATGTTATTTTACTTTGTAATCAAAAGTAATATTCTATAAGAGAACATAAAATTTCTTTTTAAATACCTGAGATGTTGTAACAATTTTCTCTCTTAGATGAACACGGATAATATTAAATTTAGTGTGTATAGACAAAATTCGAGTAATGTTAATCTTTACTTTTTATCTTCTTTATATATGTAGACCATACTGTGCATGCTACTGATATAGAAAAACAAATTACAAGTTGTTATTTTCCTTTGTAATCAAAAGTCTACTATACTAATAAGAGTCAAAGAAAGTTAGACATATATTGGTAGAAAAAATTGTCAATTTTTTTTAATCAAATGAATGACTCAAATTGATCAAATTTTAATTTTTAACATAAAATTTCTTTTTAAATACCTAAGATGTTGTAACAATTTTCTCTCAAATGAATACGGAGAGTGTTTTAGAGACATAATATTAAATTTAGTGTGTACAAACAAAATTCGAGTAATATTTAATCATTACTTTTTATCTTCCCTACATATGTGGACCACAAGGTGCAGTTGGACTAGGCTATACTCAATGGGCTTCCACCAGCCACTAGAGTTGAGCCCACTAACCTGTCATACAATCGTTATATCGTAGACTGCAGTGCACATGCACCACGGTAAAAAATAGCGCCGTTTCTTTAAGTAAAGAAACGGTCCGCCGTTATCGTTAACGGAGCCCACATGTTTGGTGTATTAAACACCAACTGACACTACAGTACATCTAAACCGACAATGCCTCACGTATTATTTTTATATTATCAAATGAAATTGCAGTTATATCAAAATAATACTGAAAAGTTGTGGTGAAATGGAACTGCAGTGTATGAAACTGCAGTATATATAAAATGAAACTGAATAACATTTCACATATTTGAGTGTATTTTGTACAATGAAGCTGTAATTATATCAAAATGATCATGTAGTTGTGTTTTAATAAAACTATAGTGTATATAAAATAAAATAAAATAACATTTTCACATATTTGAGTCTATAGAGATCAAATGAAACTGTAGTTATATCGAAATGAAACTGTAGTTGTGTTAAAATGAAACTACAGTGTATACAAAATAAAACTGAATAACAAAGTTACTTTTTGCGGAAGGGTGCGGAACGATGGAAAACAAATGCCGTTTCTTTTCATTTAACAAAACGACGCTGTTTTAATGCGAATAATTTGCCCCTGTCATACGTGTGCCGATATTTATAAATTTAATTTACAAATCAATGGCCTTTAAGCTTTTCTGACACCATTTATAAGCAATATTTATATTTACAGCATTTCAATTTATTATGCTTAATTGTCAAGCCGGACATCATTAAGTATCATCTGGTCGCTGTTTTAACTTTTATATTACTTTGTTTAATTTCCATTTCGATTAATTTTATTCCTTTCTACCAAATAATGTAATTTTAATTCATATTTTATTATCACCAAATTATAATTCATTCCCCCTTTAATTCTTTTCTCCCTATCAAACGTCCTTATAGCCCATAAAATTTATATTTAGAATATGCTAGACTTAACTAAGACTAGTATTTAGAGTAATGGAATCCAATAATGTGCATTGGCATATTAGAAAAAGAAAATTGGGAGGGGTTGATGGATACCTCCGAATAGGGTACCCAGTTGGGAGCATTCCTCAGCTCTCAGAGTATCGGTTTGACTACGCTACCCGGAAGGTTTGGATTTGTTAGGCTCGGCTGGCTGGCCAGGTAGGCGGTCGGGCTAGTACGTCCGACCGGGTACCACACTCAGAGGTGATTAGAGGGGATTCTCTCCAAATTATGCCTGGGATTTTCTTTTTCAACATTAGAAAAGAAGTGTGGCGGTTTATGAAGCTTCCTAAGATTCAATTTGGTAAACCCTTTTTATGTCATTTCCAAAACATGCAAATCTTGTATAAATATTCCGGACTACATTGGAAGGGGTTCTAATCCAATTCTCTCGCAATTATTCTTAGTTTACTCTATATTTTTCACTATTAAATTTGTTTTATGCCTGGCGTTCAGTTACCCCGTGATCATAAAACTAACGAGAGTAATTCGAAGGAAGAAAATATCATATATTAGTGTTTCAAATATGAGGTGAGGGAAAAATGGGTTTAAGTTACAGGTGGAGTCGTCATTCCGCTTCTTCATGTGAGAAGAACTAGAAAGAACGTAGTCTTGGCAATTTCAGGTCCATTAGGAGTCTTTGTTTCTACAAACTCCTCTGCATCTCTATCTCCATTAAATTTTAATAAATCAAATCTCATCTGAAACAACATACAGCACAGCACAACTAATTAGACTCTAGAGAGAAGCAGTTCTTCTGTTATGGCGGCGGCGATTGGACATCCAAACACCGGAAACCGGTCGTGGCTTGTACCTCTCATCGTTGTTGCAAATGTTGTCATGTTTGTTGTTACCATGTACTTCAACAATTGTCCCAGCCATGAGTCGGGTTGCGTCCCCAGGTTTCTTGGACGCTTCTCTTTAATTTCCAGCCCGTCTCTTTGGTCCTTCTTCTTCCACGCAAGTACTACTGTATCTATGTTTTCTTCATTACATTACCCATGCATGTATATATGCTTCAACTTTCTGGGTTAGTTTTCTTCATTATATTTCTTGATATGATACAGATTAGATAAGTTGGGGGCTATTGAGTGGTACAAAACCGTGCATCAAGGCCAAGGATGGAGGCTTGTAACAAGTATGTGGTTACATGCCGGCATTATTCACCTCGTTGCCAACATGCTGAGTCTTCTTCTTATTGGCATTCGTCTTGAAAAGCAACCCGCGGAATTGGTAACTTCTGGATCGCCAGCCTATCTCCGATCCGTCAATTTCCGGCCATATTGTTTAGTTGCTTTTGCTTTTGCTTTGGCTTTGGCAGTCTGTACTGCAGATATCTACTTATTGTCGGGATTTGGTGGGAGTATACTCTCGTCTTTGTTCATTCGGGGGACTATCTCTGTCGGTTCCTCCGGGGCTGTGTTTGGCCTTCTGGGTGCTCTCTTGTCTGAGCTTATCACAAACTGGTCCTTGTGTCCCAATAAGGTAAATTTCCACACATACATTTTCTGCCTTGAAACAATCCTAGTCAAGTTAGTCAAACGTATCTGTTCTATGGAGACAAAATTGAAGATGCTATTTATGTGTGTTGGTGTGAATAGGTTGTTGTATTAGTCTCATTCCTGGTGATGCTTGGCGCCAATCTGGGAATAGGAATCCTGCCTAGGATCAATAATTTTGGTAATATTGGTGGGTTCTTGACGGGGTTCCTCCTGGGTTTTGTTCTGCTGCCGCGTCCTAGGTTTGGTTGGACAGGACGACTGCGTTTTGTATCAAAATACAAACCTCACCAATATGCGTTGCGCTTTGTTTCTCTCACCCTACTGATTGCAGGGTGAGTTACGTTAGTTTACAGCTTCTTTCGTTTATTTAATTTCCTCCATAACACTGTTTTGCAGTTTATTTTGCCTTAACAGTTTGGTTAAATAAATGATTGAATCCAGGTTTGCATTAGGACTGGTTTTGCTGTTCATAGGTGTGAATGGTCATGATCATTGCCATTGGTGTCACTACTTGAACTGTATCCCATCCTCCAAATGGACCTGTCACTGAGAAAACTAATAGACAGATTGTTGTCACTTAGAGTCGAATTTGTAACTTTAATTGTAGTTACTGCTTTTGAGATACAAACATGCATGCATGTTTTGTTATTGAATTGAAGAAATTAACATTATTACACTCGAAATCTGATTATAAAGAAACTGAAATTAAACTTCCTCCGGTCCGATCCGATCACGTACGCTCCGGTGGGGCGTTAGTTTGCTGCATGCAACGAGGAAATAAACGTAAAGGGAATTAAAGACTGAAATGGAAGAAGAAGTTTAGTTAGTTAGTTAGTTGACTGACCGGAGCAAGAGATGGAGGGGATGTTGCACTGTGCGGGAATGCGAGCGGCGACGCGGAGGGTGTTGCAGATGCAGTCGTGATCCATGCTTTGTACGACGCTGCAACAGTCGGCGCTGGGGGCGGTGGTCACGGCGCCCGGCATCACAAACGGAGCGCACACGTTCAGATTCCCTAGCGAGGCGGTGCACGTGTCAGTCTGGGAGTTCGCCGCCTGCAGGAACTGTGCCGCCATCATCACGGCCAACGCCACCCAAACAACCATTCTCTTTGACTTTCCCGCCATTGCTAGCTTGGCTCCGGCAGATCGGGCTATTAATTATTTAACTTGATTTCGTTTCTAGCTAGAGTGATATACCAACGGTGATTCAATATAATGGACAAGTTTAAGATTATTGTATTTATATATAGTACAGTTGAAGGGAGGTTTGCATGAATCACCTACTAAGCAAGCTTCTAGCTCGATCATGCATCATATCGTCTCTGTTAATCTGTTATGGCGTGAATGAAATTAGCTGACGCGTGCATGAAACATGCTGTATATATAATCAGAATCTGCTACTTTTTTTTTTTTTTTTTTTTTTTTTTTGGGTATGTTTCACTATAATAAACTTTTTATTTTGTTTGTTTTTTTTTTAGCAAGTACTAATACTTTCTCAACCACAAATAGTCTATGTCAGGTTCGAACCTTTGGCCTCGATCATTAAGATCATTTTTTAATTAATGTAATAAGAGTCGAATAAGTCATTTAATTACACATCAAAGTGCAATTAGATCACTAAACTAAAACTAGGGCTATGTGGTCCAATGGTATTCAGGTTGGACTTCCATTTGGAAGGTTGTGAGTTCGAGCCTTAGTGGAGGCGTTATTAGCTCTTTGTGTTTCAGTAGGTTGAGAAAGTATATGAATAGATACTACAATGTAATAGAGCTAGTAGCATTCAAAAAAAAAAAAAAAGACCACTAAACTAAAAAAAGTTATAATTGGGTCCTTGAACAAGGTAAATTTGTGCAATAATTTAACCTAAAATACTTGTCTACATGTTAATATGTTGACACCGGTTATTGTATTCAAAAATAATTTTAACAATTTTGAATAAAATAATTATTTTAAAATTAATAAAATAAAAACCAACCGGGGAGACAAAGGGTTTCCGGACGACGCCTTCAGCCCTGATCGGCTATGGAGACGAAGGGCTCTGTTTCCATTGCTGGCCGGAATCCTTCATCTCTAGCTCTTTTTTTTTTTTTAAATAATTATTTTATTTAAAATTAAAAATTTTAAAAATTATTTTTAAATACAAATAATCGGCACATCAGCATATTAAGAAATAAACAAGTCATTTTAGGTAAATACTCATAATAAATTACATAAATTTACATTGTTTAGAAATTCAATTGTATATATATATATATTTTTAGTTCATGGTTTAATTGAAGTTTAATGTGTAGTTAAATGAACTATTTGACCATCCTTATTTTTTTTTTCTTTTCTTTTTTTTTTTTTTTTGTCTATGTACTACCCAAAATGTAAACATCAACTTTTCCAATCACTCATAATTTTGATTACATTTTAGGCCTTTAGGGTATATTTTTAGCGATTCCCATAACTATGAATACATTTTAAGGGTATGCAGTATGCTTATTTAAATTTTGAGTTATGAATTATTTTTTTTAGTTCTTATTATTTAATTTTTATTCTCAATTATAGTATTATTATTGCTAAAACTTAGTCAAATAATTATACTACAATTCATGCATTAATGTGTTTTTATATATACTTTGATAGATGGCATTCCAGGTATTGATTACTATACCACTCCAAATAGATGATTGTAGCTAGGTTTGAACCTTAGTGGTTAAGCTTAGATTCTTTGTTTTAAAAATATTTAAGAAAGTATAGAACATAAAACCTAACTCACTGGATACAAATTGTTTATCATCATTTTAATTTAAATTTAATTGTTTCATGTAAATGATTGAATATAATTGATTTAATACTCAAATTGAACGTCACAAGTAATAATGAAAATCTTTCATGTATATGTATTATTGGCTGGACTGGAATACATTATTACACTCAAATTAATCTGATCAACATTACAAAGTTGATGTCCTGTTGCAGGTCACAAAGACCTTCTTTCTTATTTAAAAAAAAAAAAAAATCATCAAAAGGAAACCTTTAGGCTCACCAACAATATGATGAGCAGTAATAGATCTTTAACTTTATTCATCCACCACCTTAGCTTAGCTTGCTTCTCATCTCGATCAATTCGCTGCAACATTGAACAAAAACCACCAGAAAATTATAATATATATATATATACACATACAGATAAATTTGAAGAATGGTATACAATATATAACTATACATGCATGCATATATGCAAGAAAATTAGTTACTTGTTTGAACTTAACCCATCAGCTATATACAACCTAAATTGATTTTTCTATTTATGATCTTTTATCTGTTAGAGTCACCTACGATATGAGATTTACCAGGTTGGGATTTTCCCATCTCTAAAAGAAAAAAAAAAAAAAAAGTGACTGACCGGGGCAAGAGAGAGGAGGGATGTTGCACTGAGAGGGAAGGCGGGCGGAGACGCGGAGCGTGTTGCAAATGCAGTCGCGGTCGACGGATTGGAGGGCGACGCAGCAGTCGGCGCTGGGGTTCGAGGCGGTCATGCCGGGCATCACGAAGGGAGCGCAGACGTTGATGTTCCCCAGTTGCGCGGCGCAGGTGTCGGCCGCCGTCTGAGCTTCCGCTTCGCGGATCTGCAGCGCCGTCGCCACCACCAGAACCACCACCACCAGGGATAGGATGCTCGTCACCTTCATGCCTGCCATTGCTGATCTTGTGGTCTGATGTAATAATAATGCTTCAGTTTTTTTTAATTTTCTGATCTGGATGGGCCGAATGGAATTATAGGAGGGATGTTTGAATTTGATGCTTCATGGTTGTATTTATAGTCGTAGGGGATGAAGCTATCTTAATCTTAATTCATAAAACATAGTAATGTTCTTTGCGTGAATTACCAACTTGAATTGGGTTGTTTAATTCTCTAATGCTGTCAAATTATTTTATGAGCTCCAGACAAGAACTGTGTATTGTGACATCTATGGGATTTAGAATGTTTAATGGTAGTAGTTTATATGCCAATTCCGGAAGTGACTCTACTTTTTATGTGATATGCAAGCAATTATTACACATAAATATAATTTATTTAGTGCACACATTCAAATAATAAATGCAGATTTCTCTACTTAATAAATAAAAATAATACTCCAATTATATATATATATATTCACATTTGGCCTGGTTTGATAATTTATTTAATCAGTTTTCCTAATTAATGTGACCAGTTATAATTATATAATGTTATATCGCAAATTATAATATGGTCCTTGTGGACCTGTGTTCACCCTGGTATTGTAAATTCTGATTCAAATAATGTACTTGTAATTAACATATTAAAAGTATATATTTTTAATTAATAATAATATGTTCCTATAGTTATATAATATATTTATAGTATGTATATAATTTATTAACTGTAGCTATATAATTTGAATAAGTTTACAAGATATTCGGTGACTTTACGAATTACGATCGCCAAAGAAGTTCACGGTGAACTTGGGAGACGTTATGCCATGGAACCGTGTTCACCATTCATGGTGAACACGGTTCCAACGGTGTTAGTACACCGTTATCTTCTTCTTTTCTTTTCTTTTTTTTTTCTTAATTAATTGCGTGACTTTTCTTCTTTATTTTCACATTTTGCGGTTTCACTTTAATTTGAGGTGAACAAAGATTTCGGACATTCATAAATTATGAATTCATGCCTGCACATTCACTTTGGAACCATGCCTACACATTCCCGTCCGAAATCACGGACATTCATAAATTATGAATCCATGCCTGCACATTCACTTTGGAACTATGCCTACACATTCACTTTGGAACCATGAGATTATGAATTTTCTGTTATGAGATTATGAATTTTCAGTTATGCGATTATGAATTTTCTGTTATGCAATTATGAATTTTCCGTTATGAGATTATGAATTTTCATTACATTCATAATTTCGGACATTCATAAATTATGAATTCATGCCTGCACATTCACTTTGGAACCATGCCTACATATTCTCGTCCGAAATCACGGACATTCATAAATTATGAATCCATGCCTGCACATTCACTTTGGAACCATGCCTACACATTCACTTTGGAACCATGAGATTATGAATTTTCTGTTATAAGATTATGAATTTTCTGTTATGAGATTATGAATTTTCAGTTGTGAGGTTATGAATTTTCTGTTATGCGATTATGAATTTTCTGTTATGAGATTATGAATTTTCATAAAATTCATAATCTCATAACAGAAAATTCATAATTTGATCAAACGCGCGCCGTTAACTCCACATTCGCGAAATTTTGTTTTTTTGCCTAAGGACGTCGTTTTGCCTTGTGTTCACCATTCTCGGTGAACACGACTCCATGGCATAATTTGCGGAACTTGGTCCATGATATAACTATTAGAGTAAATACCAGCCAAAGTCCCTCGATTTTGATGGTTTCACCACCTATAATCCCTAACTTCCGTAATTACCATCCGTGGTCCTCCGAGTTGCAAAATTTGACCTGCTACCATCCTTTCGTTGATTCCTTCCGTCTTAACCGTCTAAAAGGGGGTAGATATGTCTTTTGACAAAAAATAAAACATTCAGAAATTAAAAAAGCACAAATTCTTGATGGTAAGATAATTTTCTTCATTGATGATACGCCGACGGGGATTTCGCCAGAAAATCTGTTGTTCTTGATCTCCAACCGCATGAAATTTTGTGCTACTTTGCTCGGAAGCTAGCCGGAGAATGAGTTGTCGCTCAGCATCACGCTAGTCAAGTTCTTCAGAGAATGGGTTTTGTTTTCAAACGCTGTTATCCCAGTCAGAGCCTTGCCGGCGCACAAATTCTTTCCGGTGTATTACAAAATCAGAGGAAGAAACCCTCTGCAAATTTATTTTTTTTGGTAGAAACAACCCTCTGCAAAATTAGAGGAGGCAACCTATTGCAAAATCAGAGATGGGATTAAGCCTATGCTTAGTGAAATTTCACAATTCAAGAGATTCTCTGTAACTCTCCAATGCCGCCTGGGATTTCGACGGTCAAATTGTTCATTGACAAATCGATCACGGACAATCTCGAAGACTCTGTAAAACAAATCGACTGTGCTGCTCTTCATTCACGGCGACGCCTTCCACCGCCACTTCTCAACCGCCGCGACCTCGATCAGATCTGAAACCTGGCTCATCTCACCCTTCCACCTTCATTCCAGCTCTGCCCATGTGGGCGGTGGCAGCATCGGCGGTCGAAAACGCCGGAAATTAAGAGGGTACTACAAGCGGGACCCCCACCTCTAGCTGTGTAGCTTAGCCGGAGCAACACCTCTGAGCACCTCGCCACCGCCATGTCTCGTTCCTCAGCCTTCCTCTGCCCAACCTCCGCCACTTCCACCTCCTCTATTTCTTGAACTTCCAGTTCCATTGCGGCGGCGACGCCTTCGCCGCTCACCACTAGTTCACCTATTTTCTTTGACCGGAAAATCCAATGAAGGTATTTTGTGCTTTTCTAATTTTGAATGTTTTGTTTTATGTCAAAAGACATATGTACCACCGCTTTAGACGGTTGAGACAGAAGGAATTAACGGAAGGATGGTAGAAGGTCAGATTTTGCAACACCGAGGACCACAGATGATAATTACGGAAGTTAAGAACTATAAGTGGTGAAACCACCAAACTCGAGGGACCTTGGCTGGTATTTACTCTAACTATTATATATAGAAATGTTTTGGATGGAGTGGCCCATAATAATAGTAATTGGTTAGGCCCATAAGATAATTGTTGGGGCGGCCCATAGGAATAACCGGATGATCTAGAGAAGGCAATGACTGTAAATATGCCTTCGGTCCCGCGCATTAGGGGTTTGTGAGCATTAGCTGAAGAAGAGTTTCGGAGCTTTGCTGGTAGGGAGAACTGAGAAGCACCTCAAAAATGGCGGACGAAGACTATGAGATGGACGGAGGGTTCGTATCTCGTTCACCTTTTGCCTCTCGTATTCATAATTTTTCTGTTAAACCGTTTTTGTGCGATTTTTCTCCTTTCAGTCTAGGGTTTAGGGTTTTTCATCGTTGATTTTATCTCTACAATTATGTCTGAACGTCAGGTTTTGTTTTTATTCTTAAATTTTGTAAAGCTCTTCGACAACGTAAGATGATTGTTGATTCTACAGTAATTTGATTTGAGCTCCATTTTTGTTTGTTTATTTTATGCGTTTTCGCTTCACTGTGTTTCGTTCTCGGTGGATGATAACTTCCCATCAGTGGAAAAGACCTTACATCTCTTGTTATGCTGTACTGATCAATGATCATTTGTCCTGTTTTTTAGATATGAGGAGGAGCCAGTAGAGCCTGAGATTGAAGTAAGATGATTTTGCTGGTTTTCTTTTTTCTTCCCCCATTATCGTATTGGTTTATAAATTTTTACTAATGGATCGTTGTTTGAGGGCCTTTGACAGGAAGGAGTTGAGCCAGAGGAGGATAATGCTCAGCCAGAAGATGTACCTGACGCCCTAATGGGTGACGGTGATGATAAAAATGAGCAGGATGCAGTGGAACGGCCTCGGAAAACATCAAAATATATGACAAAATATGAGAGAGCAAGAATTCTGGGTACCCGTGCACTTCAGATCAGCATGAATGCTCCTGTGATGGTTGAGTTGGAGGGCGAAAGTGATCCCCTTGAGGTAGTTCCTTTCAATATGCCTTGTCTTGTGAAATTGGAATAATTGAAATTTGCAATTTGTAGACATGTAAAATTGTCTCACCTTTGTTTATAAATCAAGGAATAAGGACCAGTTCTGGTGGACTTTGTGTGGATATATATCTTTGGAATCTGGATCTTCACTACATGTTCACGTTACTTGATATGTTTTCTAGAGCTCATTATGAATCTGCTTTGTAGTTCTATGAACACTTTATAATCGATTAGGAGGTCTAAAGATATGAGCAAAGATGAACAATTTGCTTAATTGCTTACCTGTGTTCAAATGAATTAGTGAAAAAGCAGGTTAATAAACACTGCAAATAGTAGAGTAATATGCTTGGAATTTGTACTTCTCAATGGTAGATTTCACTCTGCAGCTCACTCTTCCTGTGCATAACTGAGATCAGATTGTTGTGCCATGTAACTGTGTCAACAGTGAAAAATGTTACAGCTTTCATCTTAGATGTGGTGGTTGTGGGTTGTAATTGTGACTTTTTAGTACTCCGTATAGTTGAAATAGATTTAGCAGTTCAAGAGTCACTTTTTCTTCTCTGGTTTGTTATTATTATTATTATACAGTCATATCATTGTTTTATGAGAAACTTGTGTAGCTGAAGGAGGCTACATCTGACCAGAACTGCTACATTTTATTTGAAACTTAATATATGATCATAAAAAGATGTAGTTTGTCTATGTGGCTCATGTATTTTCCCCATCTGTTCTAGATTGCTATGAAAGAGCTTCGAGAGAGGAAGATTCCCTTCACAATTCGCCGTTACTTGCCTGATGGAAGGTAAGGTTCCTTCCCCTTTAAGCATCCATCTATATATATCATTGTGAAATAATGGATCTTAATTGTATAATTTTCAGTTATGAAGATTGGGGGGTTGACGAACTGATAGTTGAAGACTCGTGGAAACGACAAGTAGGTGGGGCGTAAGCAATACTTGCTGAACTGTTGTAGTCGCTCTAATAGGATGTTATGTATTGCGTGGTTTGGGGAACTAGTAGGGGGAACTATACCTCCTACTAAATATTGTTGTGATGGAGATATTAACAACTTTGTGCTTGTGAAGTGATGTGTTTTGTCCGGAATTGCATGTTTGATTGCTACTTTTTCTTAATTCCAATTGTCACACTCACATTAGTGCATTGTGGACCTTTTTTGGCCTTTGTTGTTAAAGTGGCTATATATATACCTTTCTAAACTCACAAGAATCCAATCGTGGAATGGTTTCGTGGAGGACATGATTCCAGTGGAGGATTGATGCACGGTTTCTACTGTAAATATACATAAATGGAATGCATAGCTTTCAAAAGTATAAATTTGCAAAAATATTGAGTTTGAGGAACTTAATAACAATTTGAATTATAATTACTAAGTGCTCACTGAAATTAGTTAAAGTACTTCAACAGTAACTAATTAAATACTGTTATATTGTTAACAAAATTATGGGAAAGTCTAGAAGGTAACTTAGTTAGAGGACTAAACGATACTATCATACTAACAAGGATATGATAGTATTACCAATGGCGGTCACTAGTCAAAATTCTCAAATTGTTTTGTCACAAACCAGAAATAAAGAAAAGATAAAGCAGTGATGATAAAAGTTAAAAAGGTTAATAGGTGATTATCTGCGCTAGGCCGCTAGTAAAGTACTAAAGAAGGATTTGTTTTATTCAGAAAAGGGTGAAAAGTAAAGATTGAAGGATAGATTATATCATTATTGGGGATATGAAATAGGTGCAGAAATAATGTACAAAGAACATGGCTGGCCAGTGCTCACCTCTCCCTTTCTCCTCACTTGCCCATTTTTCTACAAAGCTAGTCTCACTCAGTCAATCGGATCCCCCTTTCTCTCTTCTTCTCCACCGCCTTCTCAACTGCAAAATTTTCAATCTTTTCTAAGCTACACTACACACACACTCTCTCTCTCTCTCACTATATCCCATGTCAGAAAGAACATCAGCTTGACTCAAAAAGGTAAAATCATTTTTGCTTCTCTGCCATTTCACGAACAGAGGAAAATCCCATTTCTTTCACTCCATTTTCTGTTTCAACTAACTTTTGTTGGGTAACTATGATATATAAATGCTGCAAACAGTTTGTGGTGTGATGGCCATTTTTTAAATTCTACATCACCTTCCTAGACCCACACTGTGGTCGCGACAGTTGGAACTTCAAATCAAACGCGTAATTGTGTTTTTCTAATTTCTGTATTATTTATTTAATTTGTTTACCAAGTTTGTTATTGTTATTGGATCCTGGGAGTTTGGAGTTCACAATTCCTATGTTTTGTGTTAGGAAACCAAAGTTAATTTCCTAGTTGAAGTCTTAATTACTTGTTTGTTTAATGAATTTTCGTATGATTATTGACTATTGTGAGTTGAGGAATTGTAAATTCCTAGAATTTGTATCAGGATACTCCTATGTCTTGTTCTAGTGAGCTGAAGTTACTTCTATAATAGAAAAGTTTATGTATAGGGTTTATGGGTTGAGCTGATGTACACAGTTTGGTCTAGGTTTTGCTTGTTTGAATGGTAAAGTTTCTTCCGACAAGGAAAATCCGCAGTCACTACCTAAGGCCTAAGGGTGTGCACTGGGTAAACCCCGCCCCTAACCTGCAAAGGAATAGCTGACTGGCTCAAACCAAGAAAGTCAAACTTGTAACCTTTTGGTTACCAAGCCAACAGTCTCACCAACTTGGCTGGGTTTAATTATGTTTCTAATGTGGAGCACGAAAACCAGTTTCTCATAAAGGATATTGGTAGTGTAAACTGCATGAAAGTGAAATTTTAAATTTATTGATAAATCTTCATCTGCTATATGATTCTTTTATTCAGCGCAAGCGAGTAAACTCAGCTTTTGTTGACGAGTGAGAGAAAGAAATGAGTAACAATGAGTGGCATGACCATCATTTGAGTAGTGTGTTGCAGCCTGAATTTGCAGAGGACTTAATAAAATGCTTTCCCGAGGATGGTGGTTTAAGTCTCGAGGAAATTCGTATACAGCAGGTACTCTGGGTTCTAACGAAGCTTTTAACTGAGTTATCAAACGGCTGTTTCAATTACCGGTTTACTAAAGAATTCCCTACAATTCTCTATTTTGCGTGTGTATGTGTGAAGAATCCTTTTTCACAGTTCTCCTACTATGTAACAGGAAAGTCTCTATCTCGCATTTCAAAAACATGGGAAAACCCAAAGCACATCTTCTGAGCATGGTGAAACTAGTCGTAGCAACCCATTTACAGTGCAAGAGCGTGCTTCACAATTGGCTCTTGATGAGGCTTTAGCCAGATCGTTAGAGATGGGCGATGGTTTTGACGATATCCATACCTTGGCTGGTAACTAAATACGATTTTCACAACCTTCTGTATTCTAAACTCTTTCTCGAGAGAGAGAGAGATTCTTTTTCATAATATTGAAATTGGTTAGGGTGCTCAAATTTGAACATCTTCTTCGTTCACAGGAGCCAGTGGATCCCAACACCGAGAGCCTCCTGTCAGGGTATTGTGCAACACATTTTTCACTCAGTATTTCTACTTTAGAAGTTAATAGGTGTGTTAAATTAGGTTTTCTATGTATCTTTGCAGGCTGAAATTTCAAATACTGCTGGAGATGCCATTGATCTAGATAACATGAGCTACGAGGTTGGTATAGTAATGAACAGCATTGAAATGCTATGGAGATTAGATTTGCATGCCCTATCTAATCTACGGCTGCTAATTATCCTTTCTTTTGTCAGGAATTGCAGTCATTAGGAGATGCTCTCGGCCACGAGAGCAAAGGGCTGTCAGATGACATTATATCTCGACTGCCAACCTTTAAATACAAATCTTGGTTTTCCATTTGGAAAAAGAAAAGCAAGGACGAGTATGTGCAGTCTTTCCTATTCTATTTTCTTCTCGGTTGTATTTCCTTTCTTCCCATAGCTCCCGAGTATTTAATCTAGACTGAATTTATATGGATGTGCTGAGCATATAACCATTAATGTACAATCCAACTATCAGCTTAGGCTTTTAGTTGAGATGGAGCATATGCTTCAATTTGGTATCAGAGCTTCGTCACCCGATACCATGATCCAAGATTCTGCTTCATAGGCTTTGCGTTTTTCATTTTCTTCCAACTCTCGTTATGTGTTGCTATCTGCATCACAGGTGCGTGATTTGTTGCTCGCAATATGCAAATAGAGATAAGTTGGCGAGTTTGCTTTGTGCGCATACATTCCATTTTAACTGCATAAAGCGCTGGCTCAAAGAAAAGAAGGTAATAAAACCGTCTCCTTGAATCTATCACTGTACTACTCATTCTGGCATTACGTATTAGCATGGTTGCAATAAGCGCCAGGTGCTGGTCGGGCGGTAGAGTAGCGCCTAGCGCCTAAACGGCCTAGGCGGCACCTAAGTGGCCTAGGCGGCAAGGTCGACATATATGCACCTACGCCCGCCTAGGTCACTATATATATATATATATATATATATATGTCACCTAAGTGACCTAGGCGGGCGTAGGTGCATATATGTCATATAAATGAAAAAAAAAAATTAGCAAGGTCGAGTTAGCCGTGTTAACTCAGCTAACTCGATAGAAATGGACGAGTTAACTCAGTGCTAGGCGGGGGCCTAGAGGGGAAATCACCACGGCCTAGGGGAGCCTAGCGCCTAATCGGCGCCTAGCGAGATTTTTGCAACACTGTGTATTAGTTTGCGCCTTTGCGGGATTCCTTAAAAGAACATTCTTATATCTACACATCTCCGTGCCTGCATTTCGATTTGTGTTCACTTAGGACTATGCATTTGTTCATCAACGCGACACCGCTTCGTCGAAACGCAAGTCTAAGGCTTCGTGAAGTATACTGATCAGTATGTGTTTTCTCTGGTGCAGAATTGCCCTGTTTGTAACATGGAGGTAGCTGATGCCTGAGCATGGCAAAGCTTGGATGGAATTTTACAGTGCAATTTCTTGTTTTGTAGGGGAATTAGGCCAAATTTACATTTTACTTTCATGCTGTAACTTTTTAGATTTAATTTTTTTACAGCTCTTGAAACTGGGGAGTGGGAAGAGTGTTCTGTCTTCTGCTTCATGCTTTGAATCAATGGCTTCTTTTATACTTCTTCTGCTACTATTGGAGCATCATAGGGTGCTTTCTTTTTCAATTATTTTTTAGAAAATAATTTAATGTATATAATATTGATTGACATCGAAGTGCAACTTGCACCACAAGTTGATAATCAGAATTAATTATTATAAGTAAGTATAATGGTTTGCTTCTTAATATAACTATAAGCTTTAAGTTCAGGAAACTTTCTTAGTTTATGTTGATTTGAACAATTCAATTAGTAGCAATTTAGACTATTCCTTGTAGCTTCATGTTGGTAGTGAAATCAAAGAAAACAAAAATCTATTCACCACCCATATTGATTAGATAGTATCACTTTGAGACTCATCGATTAGGACTTTATTTATTTGAAATTCTCTATAAAGAAGTTTTGACCTCACATTTTAGGATATTAGAGCATTCATAGCGATTGATTTTTCTTGTTTTTGTCAGCCCAAACAACTTGATTTGATTTTTTCTTGATGTGGAAGATAATTTTTGAAATGATTTTTCTCCATGTAAAATACTAGATTTTGTCAGAATTTTTTTTCTTAAAAATAAAAATAAAAATACACTAGCCTGGGCACTGCCACCCTAGCTAGCGGCCACTCTGAAGAAGAAAGGAGTTTTAAATTGTTTTTCTTTTTTAGTTTGTCAGATTTTGTTTTTGTTTTTTCGTTTTTATTTTTTTCCTTATTCTTTCTCATAATCATCACATTAAAAACAAAAAAAAAAAAAAAAAAAAAAAAAAACTCAAACAAATGTGGATGCTTTTAGAGCATCTATAATAGTGTAGGTTTTTTTTTTTCTTTGGTGTGATTTTTTATGAGCCATGTAGGAAAAAGAGGAAGAAGTAAAGAGAAAAGCAAGGAAAAAGAAATAAAAAGAAAAACAAAAGCCGCCGCCTAGCTGACAAGTGACCATCCCTTTCAGTTTACACGCCAGCTACGCGCGGGACGTTATGCCATGGAACCGTGTTCACCATGAATGGTGAACACGGTTCCAACGGTGTTAGTATACGGTTATCTTTTTTTTTTTTTTTTTTTTCTTAATTAATTGCGTGATTTTTCTTCTTTATTTTCACATTTTGCGGTTTCACTTTAATTTGAGGTGAACAAAGATTTCGGACATTCATAAATTATGAATTCATGCCTGCACATTCACTTTGGAACCATGCCTACATATTCCCGTCCGAAATCACGGACATTCATAAATTATGAATCCATGCCTGCACATTCACTTTGGAACCATGCCTACACATTCACTTTGGAACCATGAGATTATGAATTTTCTGTTATAAGATTATGAATTTTCTGTTATGAGATTATGAATTTTCAGTTATGAGATTATAAATTTTCTGTTATGCGATTATGAATTTTCTGTTATGAGATTATGAATTTTCATTACATTCATAATTTCGGACATTCATAAATTATGAATTCATGCCTGCACATTCACTTTGGAACCATACCTACATATTCCCATCCGAAATCACGGACATTCATAAATTATGAATCCATGCCTGCACATTCACTTTGGAACCATGCCTACACATTCACTTTGGAACCATGAGATTATGAATTTTCTGTTATAAGATTATGAATTTTCTGTTATGAGATTATGAATTTTCAGTTGTGAGATTATGAATTTTCTGTTATGCGATTATGAATTTTCTGTTATGAGATTATGAATTTTCATAAAATTCATAATCTCATAACAGAAAATTCATAATTTGATCAAACGCGCGCCGTTAACTCCACATCCGCGAATTTATTTTTTTTTTGGCCTAAACACGACGTCGTTTTGCCTTGTGTTCACCATTCTTGGTGAACACGATTCCATGGCATAATTTGCGGCTACGCGCACAGTAGGTGCACGAAGCGCACATGCGCTTTTAATCTATCAATTTCTCTGTCTTCTAGCAGCAATAAGGGCCCACAAAAATGCATTGTTTGCACGAGTAAAAAATCACAAAAAAACTCCTCCCACACTAGTTAAAAACACACTCTCAATTTTTTCATCTGCAAAAAAAACGAATAAAATGCACTGATGTGCATTGATACTGCTAATTATACGTGAGCAATATATAACAACACGAGACCAATTAAAGCAAGTAAATATCTTTATTGATCACGATAAAGGCCCTAAGTACAATCTACTTGGTTGCTCTGAGTACCGACTGACTGCGGTCGGGATTCTCTAATAACAACCTATCGATCGTCCAAAAGTCCCTTACACTGTAGCTACTGTGGGTATTTATAGCCGCTATGCCGGGGACAGGATTCCAGCCGTTCGGCATGTCCTCCACGTAGCCACCACGTGTCGCCCTCCCGGGTGCCCTGTCTGTCGTCGTAGAGAATCGCCACGTGTCTTTCGTCAGCTCTCTCGCCAAAGGGCTACCGCTCGGCAGTCGACACCGTCGCTCGGGCAACTCCCGGTTGGCCCCCGACCGGGTTCTTCTCAAGGAGCCCGACCTGTTACCTGCAAAGACAAAGAGAAAAGGACAAAGGTTTCTCGGTCGTGGTGAAGCTAAGTCGGTCGGGATATTCCCTACCAAGAGCCCCCCAGCCCGGGCCTTTTTGATCGTTCGGGAAAAAATGGGCCGGGATGAAGGAGCCCAACCGCCGGCCGCTAAACCGACCGGCCAGCTGTCATTCCCTTCTCCGCCACGTGTCGGCCACTGCCGGCCTCTGCGACTGCAACCGTCGCCTCGGAATCAGCGCTGGTCGTGTCACGCAAGTGGATGATTTTCCCGCCCAAACGCTCTCCTATAAATAGGTTCCTGAGGCCTTCATTTGAACTTTCCTCAATCTTCTGAAGCAATCGGTACCCTCAGAGAGTCCCGAGCAGTAGATCAGCAATCCGACCAAGCAAAGCAAAACTTCAAATCCTCTTCCAAGTTTCTTCACTCGGTAAGCTCTCAACCCTTCTCTTTTCTTTACACCTCCATCTTAGGTAGAACTGCTAGGTTAACTAACTGTCCCGGACACTTTAAGTCCTTTACTAACCCCGACCGACCCTTAGGTAGATCGAAATGACGGACTCTGACAGTCAGAACGCCTCGATCGCGGATTACGACGAAGAGGTCGAGCATCTCAGCGATGAGGAGGTGGACATCATGTCCTACTCCCCCGAAGCTACCTACCGACCGGCGCCAGCCCCCGAGCAAGCCGCCGCACAAGACACGTCGTCCAGCTCATCCGGGTCGTCGAGCTCTAGCTCAAGCGGATCGGGGAGCTCCGACGAAGAAGAAGAAGGAACCACATCGGGGAGACAAGGATCTCCGACCGAAGGCGTTAGGGAAACGCCCACCCGGGTGGTTGGGGACCACCCGAGTCCTGCTCCCGAGCTGGCCGAAGAAGACACGGCCGGGCCGGCCGCCCCAGCCGCAGCGGAGTTCGAATTCTTGAACAGCGAGAATGTCGAACAACAAATGAGCCTACTGACCACGGGCGAGGCGGCCAGGATTGCTGAAAGGCTCGTAGGTCGGGTGGAATTCGACACGAGCCGAAAGTTAGGGAACGTCATCGATCGGCATCGGGGCAAATGGATCGGGATGCATTACGACTCCCTAATGGCCCCGATCGCCATTCCCTTCACCCCCCTCCTGAACGCCTTCTTGGCCTACTACCGGGTCGTCCCGGCCCAGATCTGCCCCAATGCGCACCGGATTATCGCCTGCTTTCCGCAGATATGCGCCCGGCATGAGGCCGCCTGCACGATGGAGCTGTTCAACTTCATCTACCAGGTCAAAGTTCTCCCGGGCAACTATGGGGGCGGGTTCCTAATGCTGCAATCCCGAGCCGATATGTGCGCAATCAAGGGCTTGCCCGGGAACAACAGGGGGTGGAAGAACAGGATTTTCTCCCTCAAATACGACCCCTGGATCCTCCCGGTTGACCGCGCTTGGAGCACCCATTTTCGGAAACAAGTGGTGCCGGTCGAGACGCAAGCGCTCAGGGAGACGGTCAGTCGGATCTCGAGCGAGCTGCACGAGTATACGATCTTTCGAACGGCTGAAAGTCTCGAGGTGGCTAAACTCCCGCCCCCCACATACGAGCTACAGGAGAAATATCTGCCCGTGCCGATGGGCGTGACGGTCGCCAAACCATCGAGGCGACCGAAGAAAGGTTTTAACACGAGCTAACCCTCCCGACTTAACTTTATGCCTCGATCACACTAACTTGGTCTCTTTGTTTGCAGCTATGGCAGATTTCGGTGATGAGGAGGCCCCCCTTCCCCCGCCTGCCAAGATCTCCCTCGGCGGCAAGAAGAAGACCAAAGCCAAGCCAGCCGGGGAAAAGGAGATCCCCTTGGCCCGACCCCTAAGCGCCTCGACCGTGACGACGGGCGAGGGCTTTATCGTCGAGCCGTCCGATGTCTTGGTCGCCCGGGTAGAAGTTGCCCGGGGAAAAGAGAAGGTGCCCGAGCAGGGCGTGAAGGAGGTGGGCGGCATGAAACGCCGCCGTGAGCAACGCAGCCCGAGCCCTCCGGTCGGGCGGGATAGGGACGCTTCGTCCATCTTGGCCCGGATTGGCAATGCCGGGCGGGCCAAAGAAGATCTGGGGAAGATGACCCCCACACAGGTAGTCGAGAGGATCGGCTATGATCTGGCCGAGGTAAGCCTTTTTAGCCATCCATTTTTTGTGCAAGTGCCTTCGACCGGGCTAACCCCGACTGTTTTGCCTTTGCAGATCTCCCGAGCGGCCCAACTACTGCAGGGTCGGGCCATGCTGGCCGAGGAGGCCGACCACCACAAGAAGACGGCCGCCCGTCGCCTTCTGGAGGTTAAAGAGCTCCAAGCCGAGCTCGAGAAGGCCCAGAAGGCCTTAAAGAAGAGCGAGGAAGACCGGGCTCTTGCAGAGAAGGTTGCCCAGCGGGCGATCGGCGAGAACAAGGAGTTGAAGACCCGCCTGGAGAACCCGGAGGAGTTGGCCCGTTCGGCCTTCAAGGACGACCAGATCGGCTCGGCCTTCCTCACAGCTGCTCGGAGGACCAAGGTCGGGGAGGACCT